ATTATGCTTCACAGTGAACACCCATCTGCACTCAATTGGTTTCTTTCCTTCAGGTTGATCCACCAGCTCCCATGTCTCATTTTTAATTAGTTTATTCATTTCCTCCTTCATTGCATCTTTCCTTTCAGGCACAGAGAGAGAGCTTCCTACACAGTTTTAGGAATGGATATAGCAGAAATGGATGCCAAATAGGATTTATAGGATGGGGAAAGGTGGTCATATGAAAGAAACTAAGATATGCAATGAGCAGTGGATGTGGTACATCTTTGTTTCCTTTTACGGACTATAATGGGAAGGTCAAGATCATTAGTAGAAGACAATGCTCTGTGGTGGTAGTCTCAAGAGTAGAAAGAGTAGTGGTAGTATCTAGATCAGGTGCTGCAGAGGAAACTAGAACTGGCATGGGCTGATCAAGAGCACCAAAATCAACTAGCCTCCACCTCCTATGGAAAACCTTCAACTTCTTACATTTCTGACAATGATCCTCTTGACATATTTCCTTTTCAAGAATAGGAATAGGAAGGAGAACTTCAGGAGTAGACACACCCCTCTCTTCTCTCTCCCTTTGAGATGAAATTCCCAAATAAAAAGGAACATCCTCAAAAAAGGTAACATCCTTGGACACAAACCGAGAACCAAAAATCGTTAAAAACAGCAATGTCCTTTTTTATTTTGTCCATAACCAAGGAAAATGCATTTGGAGGCTTTTGGATCAAATTTAGAACAATTAGGCCCCAAAATCTAAACAAAACATGTGCACCCAAAGACTTTAAGAGGGATAGTAAACAAGTCTTTCTCAGGATACAATAAAGTGAAGGGAGCTTTCATACCCAAGACACGAGAGGGAACTTGATTAATGAGATACACAACTGTATGAATTGCATCCCCCCAAAAATGTATAGGAACATTTGAATTAAGCATAATGCTTCTTGCAACCTCAAGGATGTGCCTGTTCTTTCTCTTAGCTACCCCATTTTGCTTAGGGGTATAAGGACAGGTGCTCTGATGAACAATGCTTCTTTTACTACTATGGTCCCCAAACATCAGTATGCACAATTTCAAAAGGAACAATGCTTCTTTTATTACTCAAAAACCCTGTTCCTTTCCACCAATTTGTTATATGTTGCTGTATCCTTCTAACTTTTCCATTTAATTGTCTCCAAATGATCATTTTTATGCCATAGAGACTTCAAGGTAGAGAAGTAAATTGACACAGATTTCTCCCCTGTTTCAGATTTGTCACTTCAATTTTCAGCTTATAGGCCCTTACTACATCTAGGGGCTGAGAGTAAGTTTCTTTCATATTGTCCCAGATGTCTTTGGCAGTCTTTGCTCACAAATAGTTTCTACTGACATGGGGCTGCATTGAGTTGCAAAGCCAAGTCATGACTAAGCAATTTTCTTGAACCCACTTCGCATAGGAAGGGTCTTCCTTGGCTGGCATCTTAGTGTCACCATTTACATACCCTAACTTACCCCTTCCTCCAATGGCCATCATTGCAGATTGAGCCCACTCAAGATAGTTTGCTCCATCAAACTTAATAGTCATAATCTGGAAGGAGCTGCTGTCTGTCAAACTACCAGCCCCTGCAAGTCCTTACAAAATTGATTTAAACTCATTTCCCATATTCTCCATCCTGGACTGAGCAAAAACATCACACTTCCCAGAAATTTTCTGATAAGAGAAGTGATTTCCTCTTTAAAAAATAGCAGTCAAGTTGAAACCAATCTGCTGCAGCACAAAACTGGTCATTCCAGCAAGGAAAAACCCTAAAAAACAGAGGAAAGCAAAAGAGAAGATCCAACTGCAACTTCAGAGACTTCAGAAAGCTCTCCACTTGGAATCAATCTCTAAATCAAAAAACTACCCAGAAAATACTGAGCGCCACTTTCAGCCTGAGGTTTAACCCCTAAACCTCAATTGAACAGGTCTCTCTGATTCTTCCTGGTCACTGGGCAAAACAGAAAGACAGGGAGGTGCAATAACAATGCACCGAACTCCACTGACCTCTAAGAATCGGGCAAAAAAAGGTTGAAACTCCAACCCAAATAGAGTCTCATGCAGCCGTCTGGACTAAGCATACATGAGACCTAAACTAAACCTAAACCTGCTCTGATACCAACTTGGAACACATCTGCAGCAGTCCTAGGTTAGTTCGAGATCTGTTCAAGAGAAGAAAAGAAGAAGAAAGAAGAAGAAAGAAGAGAAGAAGAAGAAGAGAGGGAGAGGATAAGGAGGAATGAGAGAAAGAGAGAGCAGAATGAATTGGTTCTGCCGCCCCCTTAATTGGATTTTATATTTACTTGAGAAAAAGAAGATCCAATAACAAAAATACCCATGTCAACTGTGACAGAGAAAAAATAAGTACAGCATTCTAAAACAAAGCAAATGAGGATGGGGAGCATATTTCCGCACCTAACAAACATGTAGAACCAACTAGAGTCTTCAAGTTGCTTTATTCGAAAGGTGGTCTGAAGTATTGCTACAAATAATAATAAATTATTACATTCCAAGCAAGCTAGCTAGTGCTAGCTTGAGGGGGACTTTTAGAATATTCAGTTTCTATGAGATTAATGGCAAGTTGAGGAACGTGGATGACAAATGATAAAGACAATTAATCACCAAATTTGATGTTTTTTTTCCATTTTCTATAATTAATGTTGTTTTTGCCACAAAATAACTGATATGAATGAAAGTATGAAGAAATACCAGTCGTGTGATCATAGGCATTTTAGTCTATTTTCAAAGGATGGGTTGGAGTCAAAGAAGATACATGATGAGCATATGCAATAGGTAGAATATGACTCCTGTGCCCGTCTAGCTTACACAACCCAACTCAATCCTTACAAGACCTTCCAAATGTATGGACTATGCTTAGAGTTCTAAATTTCTTTAACCTCCATTAAATTCCCTTTATTAAGGGATGCAAAGAGTACCTACACAAATATGGGTGCAATTGATATGTCATTCTCCCAATCAACCAATATGGGTGCAATTGATATGTCACCAGAATAAGTCTCTCAACGAAGATGATATGAGGTAAGGCTTAGATCAATTTATGCACCTTTTACAAGCCTGAAAACATATCAAGGGTAGCTCAAGTCCCAGCATATATGTGATTAGTTGTTCTAATTAGAAATTTAGATGAAGCATTTCCACATCAGGACAAAGTTGAGGACTGACGTAACAGCCCTTATCCTAAAGTCTGAAAATTATGAAAAATTGTATCCTAACCTGAAAATTTCTTTTCATTGAATTGTGTAAGAACTCCCTGCAGTAAATCAGCCCAATTGAAATTTCCTTTTCCCTTGTTATATCGAAAAAATTAAGAAACCTCTAAAAATTTTTTTCCTGTGTGCCATAAAACACTTCCCTCCCAACAGCTCCAGTACCATACTGATCTATAGAGATTGAAAGAATAATGCCAGAAAATAAAAGAAATAGATAAACACTGCCCACCTTCTCTCACAGTCTCACTTATTCAAATCCTAATCCAGACCATATGATGGCTTAACAAATCAAACACTCAACGACCCTAAAATTGTACATACTCCCTTATACTCCTAGAAATGCTAAATAGTCCCCAGATGAGTAACAATACTTTGGTTACATCCCTACAACCTCCAACAATTTTTAGGGTCTGTTTGGTTCGAGGGAATAGGACCCTGGAATCAGAATCGGAATGGGTCATTCCGTTTCTGGATGTTTGGTCGACCGGAATGGGAATGAGTAGGCGGAGTGCCATTCCCCCATATGGGGGAATGGCCATTCCCGACCCCCTCCCCCGGAACGTGATTCCCATTCCACTATTAGTTTCCTTTTTTTCTTTTTGGATATGCAATTCAGAAGGAAGATGCCATGGGTAGACCAGGGTTTCACCTTGGCAAGAACCTCCCCAAATCTGCCATTCGTGCCTTCGTCGAGAACCTCAGAGTATTAGCACCCAAGGTGCTACCGCTAAGGGAGCTGCTTCGATATGTTATAGTAACACGCCTCCTTCCTTGTCCCAAGAAGGACAGCGCGTCCGCCGGCAAGAGCGGCAGGGTGGGAAAGAGTTTGGGGCTGATAGAGTACGACTTGGAGCCAGCGAGGCCAAGAAGAGGTTGAGAAGAGGTGACAGGGTGATGATTATCAGCTTCGGGGGAGGTTTCAAGTGCAACAGCTGCCTTCTGGAGGTTGTTAGGGATTTGGAGGGTGATAACGTGTGGAAGGATTTTATTGCTAATTACCCTCCAAAAACCCTAGTCAGTCCGTTCATGAGAGAGTATGGGTGGATTAACAATGAAACGGAGGAGACGTTTGAAGAAGCAGTGGGTAGCTACAAGCAAAATTTCTGAATTTGCTACAAAACTTTCATGCATTTTTATGAATTTTCTACAAAATTATTATAATTTCTGCATTTCCTGCAAAATTTCTGCAATTTCTGCATTTTTTTTGAAATTTTCATGCATTTTCTGCTTTTTTATTTTTATTAGGGGCAAAATTGGAAATCATGGCTGATTCCGATTCCAGCCTGATGAACCAAACAGCATCAACCGGAATCCGATTCCGATTCCTGTTTGAACCAAACAGGTAGGGGTAATAGACCATTCCGATTCCAATTCCAAGGGATTCCCATTCTGATTCCGATCACGAACCAAACGGACCCTTAGTTTCTTTTCTCTTTTTGCTTGTTTGTCACAGATGAACATCAAATATACATAATTAATTGTTCCTTAATTTTTAGAATTCTCATGATGTTAGACATTTTAATAGAAATAATTTTTTTTTTAGAATGCTTCCCTGAATCCATGGTTTTCCTTCTTGTTGGGTTGGACTCCTAGACTGGCATCAGATTCTGAACTCCCTAATCTATGTCCTTGTAACACTTATTTTTGGTTTGACATAGTATTTATTATCTAACATACTAAAATCAACTTTTTGTTGCTTGTTAAAACTCTGATGTTTATTCATCATATTGATTTTTTGTTGCTCCTATTTATGGCATTCCATTCTACAGATATCTTCTACGGAGAAGTGCACTGGAATTATTTATGGTTGACAGATCAAACTTCTTCTTTGACTTTGGGGTATAATGTTATAAGTATCTATATGCATCTAATTTCATTGTATCTATGTCAACACAAAGTCTGTTAATAACATCCATTCCTCATAAATCGCCACTAAACCACTTTTTGTCTTTATTTTTTCTTGGTTTGTATTTGGTCTAGAATATTGAAGGGCGGAAGAATGCATATAAAGCTATAGTTCAAGCACGGCCTCCTCATTTGAACAACATTTATCTAGCCACACAAGTATCTATCTTTTAATGCTCTAAATGTATTATTTGAATCTAAGACATTCTATTCTTAAAACTAAGGTCCTGTATTATTTGCTTTAGAGACCTGAACAACTTCTTAAGAGAACTCAGCTTATGGAGCGTTGGGCTAGATGGGAGGTACGAAATTGATGATTGACTTGTAGATACATCATTATTTAAACCTGTTGTTTTAATTTCAGCAATTTCGTTTTGTTTTAGTTACTGAATCTATATTATTAACCACTAGAACACTACCTATTCGCAGATCAGCAATTTTGAATATCTTATGCAGCTCAATACCCTGGCTGGCCGTAGTTATAATGACATCACACAGGTTGATTTTCTAAATATTTTATGTCAATAATTTGAAGAAGTAGGATCCTGTACTTTTGTTATTGAATATCCTTTTTCTTCATTGCAGTATCCTGTTTTTCCATGGATTCTTGCTGATTACACTTCAAAGAATTTGGATCTCACTGATCCATCTTCATACCGAGATCTTTCACAGGTTGCACAAGTTAATCCAGTCTTCTGTTCTTAATTACTGTAAATTTCCACTGTTTTAATTGGTTTGTTTATTTAAGTGTAAAGTATATACTCTTTGCAGCCTGTTGGTGCATTAAATGTTGATAGGCTAAAAAAATTCCAAGAAAGATACTCCAGCTTTGATGATCCAATCATCCCAAAGTTTCATTATGGTTCACATTACTCAAGTGCCGGAACAGTAAGTTCTGTTGTGATATTATCTTTTAAAATGGTTGGTGTTTTTTCTTTTTAATGTAAATGCTGCAAGAGAATGCATTTCGAGCTCTGTTGCCCTACTCTTACAAACATGTTGATATCTGTAGCCTGCTTACCTCTTCTAATATTTTGTTAAATAGAAATAGCGACCAAGATATGAAACGGGGTTGGATTTAACAGTGATCTCTAGTTTGTTGAAAATATCACTTTTTAAAGTAGGCTAGGGCAAATGTAATAGTATTGCATTGCCATTATTTAGCATTTTTTATCATTTTCTTTGCCTATTGGTAACAGAAGTATCTGTCAGATGGTCCCTCCTCTGTTGATGTGGTCATATGTTAACTAACTTCATAAGTGGCAGCTTGGAATGCTGATATAAACTATCGACTCTTCTTGATATAGATGCTGATAAAAAAGAAATTTCTTGATACAAATATCTAGCGTTTTCTAGACTCCAGAGTTGCAGAATTATATATACTGACATTAATTGATAGCATTGAGTGTTTTCTTAGAGTGGATCTTGATGTGATTAATTCATTCAATGCTACTGCTTTTGTTTCATATTTTTTCTTTCCTTCCCTTGTTTACTGATGGTGTTTTTTGTTGGTTCATCAATTCTGGTTCATTAAATTACATCTTGTAACTTCAGTTGACCTATTGGTGGATAAGGTAGTAGAAATCAGTAGAAATATAAAAAATTATAGAAATAGAGGAAAGAAAGGAAGAATTTGTGAGAGAAGAGAATTACATGGCCAAGACATCACCATGTAATTCTCCTGCACCCACTGAGAAGAATTTGTATAAAGGTTACATCTCCTCTCCAGTAATATATCCTAGTTTTCCACGTGCACTAATAGCCATCTTGGCTGATTGTGCCCATTCTACATAGTTTGTACCATCCAATTTAATTGTAGTAATAATACCAGATCCAAACAGATCATTGGCACTTCCTACACCCAAGCCTTGGCTATTGGTTGATTTATGTTCAGCACTACATCCCTCCATATCAATTCAATCAACTTAAATCAGCAAGAAAATCAGATACAAACATTCCAAGATCAGATTGATCTCACCAAGAAAGGGGGGACTCTTCTGGAAGAAGAAAACCCTACTTGGAGAGAATTCTCCATTCTTGAGAACTAAAAGGAGAACAGGGTGTCAACCTCTTCAGGAAGCCCAGAAATTTCCAAAAGTTGAACCACCCACTATAAAAAGCTCCAAGGTATCCAAAAAAAACTTGAGCCCCCAACACAAGTCAAAAATAAAGAGTCCAACCTGACTAGGACTCTTCCCCTCACTCCAGTTCTTCCTGATTTTGAGAGTTTGAACAGTTCAGTTGGTTGAAAAGTGATGCCTTCACAAGCTTGGGTGCCAGGCAGGCCTATACCTGCAACAGTACTTTCTGTGGTTCCACCGAAACCCACACCCAAATATGTCATTCCTCCATGCAAGCATGTTTATTCTAGAATGCCATGTCAGAAGGTTGTTATAACTGCAAAATATCAGATCCAATGTTCAAAATTTTAATACGATACACCCTGTATCAGGTGTATCGTATCATATCGGTAGCTTTCCAAATTCACAAATAAGGGGGGTTTTGTAATTTGGGCACTTTCAGGGGTAGGAAAGCCTAAAAACGACCCCCTGAAACATTTTTGAAAAAGAAAAACTACAAAAAAAAGATATAAAGTATCAAAACACCCGATACGCCTTCATGTATATCAAGTGTATTGATACTTTGAACTTTGATCAGATCTGACCTGCTTGTTATGTGGTTTTATTACCTATAAATAGGCATTCTGTTGAGTGGAAAATACTTTTTGGCTGTGTTCCAATTTTCTTACCCTCTTCTCTCAATAAGAAGCTGAGCTTCCCTCAAAGCAAGCTCCTGAGTTAGGCTGTACCTAACAGCATCTTTCTTTGGATATTTTGGGTGTTAATATTGACCATGTTATGAGTATGAGGACAAGGATTGTATTTGTAAATCATTCCGTGATGGGTTTCTACAAGCTGAATATTGGTGGAGCTTCAAAATTCCTTATGGGTATTACTGGAGCCTGGAGGAGGTGGTATTATTGAGGATGGAAGAAACAAGGTGGTGGTAGTAGCTTTCTCTAACTTTTATGGTGGCAAGACCAATTTAATTACCAAAGCAAGGGCTTTACTTGATGGGCTCCAGTTGGCGTGTTGTACTTGAATTGAAAATGTGGAGGGGGTAATAGATTCATAGATTGTTTGTGATATAGTGAAAAATGCTTGTGAAGTACCATGCTAGCTTTTTACTAGTAGAGGAGAGTGTCAGAATTGTTTGATAGAATGGTGATAATTTTTTATTCTCTTAGGGAAGGTAAAAAAGTTTTAAATGCTTCTGCAGATTTAGCTTGCATCAAGAGAAGTAGGATTTTCAATTCTTTGGAAGAGTTACCAATTGATTTTTTTCGTTTTGAGAAAAGATAACAGAAATTTCATTAAATAAATAGAAGGTAGTTGAGAAGATGTACATCAGAGAAAACGTGAGAGGCACACAGGAATTACAAAGGTAAGTTTCTTAACTTTCTATCTTTCTATCACTATACAAAGAATCCGTCTGAACCCATCAATGTCCATTAGGCTCAGTTAGGATGATGCATACAGAATTCCTTTCTTATTTTTTAGATAATTTATGTTTTTGTTTTTGTTTTTGTTTTTGGGGTTCAAGAGATCATTGAGTCTGCTTATATTTTGTTCATATGATTATTTTGGATGATCGCTTTGTAACTAGGTTTTGTAGAGGGGTAAGAAGTATGAAGCTATACAAGGATGTTGTATCATGTTGGATACGTTTATTATTAATAAAATTTATGGTAGCCATCCCTTGACTTGGAGTAAAGTTTGGGGTTTAAGTAAAAAAATCACATCCAGCCTTGTCCTTGCCACATCTGCATAACATTGGTATGGAGGTGGGTTGTCTATTTCATGTAATTGTAACGTAATGGATATTTTTTAAACCCTAAAGTTTACTCCAGGTGGATGTTAAAAATGCCTTCCTCAACAATGTCTTGCAAGAAGAGGTGCACATGCAGTTACCTCCTAGATTTTATAGTGCAAAAGCAGGAAAGAAGGCTCGTCGGCTTAATAAGGCCTTATATGGATTGAAACAATCTCCTAAAGACTGGTTTTATAGATTTAGACAAGCTCTTGAAAAATTTGGCTATGTGCATTCCCAGTCAGATCACACTCTTTTTATTAAGAAAGTGAATCCTTCTTTAACACTTGTTGTATATGTGGATGATATTGTGGTGACAGGGAGTGATATCCATGAGATTGACTCTCTTAAGCAACTCCTTCACTAAGAATTTGAGGTCAAAGACTTGGGAGAGCTATAGTATTTCTTGGGTATTGAGGTAGCACGGTCTAAACATGGGATTTTTGTTTCCCAAAGGAGGTATGTTCTTGATCTGTTGGAAGAAACTGGGAAGCTAGGTGTTAAGCCTGCTAACACACCTATTGAACAAAATCACAAGATCAGTGCAGAAGGTGGAGAGCCCCTTAAAGATAAAGTTATGTTCCAACGGTTGGTTGGAAAACTTCTCTATCTTTGTCTCACACGACTAGACATCTCTTATGCAGTCAGTGTTGTTAACTAGTATATGCATTCTCCTAGAACCACTTACCTACTTGCAGTTGAGAGGATACTGGTGTATTTGAAGAGATGTCCAAGCAGAGATATACTCGTCAAAGATAATGGTCACATGAAAATAGAAGTTTACACAAATGCTGATTGGACTGGATATGTTGATGATAGGAGGTCTACTTCTGGGTATTGTGCTTTTGTAGGAGGAAATCTTGTTTCTCGGAGGAGTAAGAAACAAAATGTTGTTGCTCGCTCCAGTGTTGAAGCTGAATATAGGTCCATGACAAATGGTGTGGCTGAAGTGTTATGGTTGAAATCTCTATTTGAGGAGTTGGGTATTGCTTATGAGAAGCCCCTAATGTTGTATTGTGATAATCAGGCTGCTCTTAACATTGCCCATAATCCTGTACAACATGACAGAACTAAGCATAAGTGGATCAATACTTTATCAGAGAGAGAGTTGCTTCCCAATTAGTGTGTCTTCCATATATCACCTCCAACATGCAACTTGCAGATCTCTTCACTAAGGCAGTTTCAAAGACAAAGTTAGAGGCAGATCTATGCAAGTTGGGAATGACTAATATCTATTCCCAACTTGAGGGGGAGTGTAGAGATGTAGAACATTAATGTGGTCCCCACTACTGTTTGTCTATTTATGTTAATGGTAGTTGGTAGTTATTTTTTGTTTTCTATTATTTCTTATTTCTTTGCTTATGTAAGCAGTAGGGGTAATTCTGGTTTTTACCCTATTTAAACTATTAATATAAATAGCTGAGTGGGGCGACAATCTAAGTCATGACCCACACTCTTTTTGACTTTCTTCTCTTCATCTTCTCATTCTCTTCTCCTCTTTGTTCTTCTTCTCTTATTCTCAAATCTTCTTTCTTGTTTATTGTACATTACAACTAGGACTGATGCAGTCCTACTAGACAACTTAGGTATGCTTATTGTCCCCCTGTACTACTATGGGATTCAATGCATAACTTTTATAATGGCGTTGATAATGTAGGAAAAAGAATATGTTCTATTTATTTAAATATTACTTTTTCCTGTTCTTCCATAGGTTTTGTATTACCTTGTTAGAGTGGAGCCATTTACCACTCTCTCAATCCAGCTACAAGGTGGCAAATTTGATCATGCAGATCGGATGTTTTCTGACATAGCTTCTACTTGGAATGGTGTTCTTGAGGACATGAGTGATGTCAAGGAGTTGGTAAGAATTTATTTCATCAATACCCAATGAGCGCCCCCTTACAGTCGTGATTAGAGTTGTTAACTTTTTATGTGCATTTCTTTTTTTCTCATCTTCCTTTTACTGTATCACTTGCAGAAGGCATACTCTTATATTTGTTTCTCTATTTGGTTTTAGGTTCCAGAGCTCTTTTACCTCCCTGAGGTTCTAATGAATGGAAACTCAATTGATTTTGGCACAACACAACTAGGGGGAAAGCTTGGTATGTATATCTAGGTACTTGGAATGAATGAGCACCGATCAGTTGCATTTTTCTTGTAAGTGTCTGATCTTGATATGCTGATTTTGCATTCAATGTCACAGATTCTGTGAGACTTCCACCATGGGCTGAAAATCCTATTGATTTCATTCATAAGCATCGGAAAGCTCTTGAGAGTGAGCATGTTTCTGCTCATTTGCATGAATGGATTGACCTCATATTTGGGTATGTCTACTTGTTCTTGAAAATTTTATTTTTATGGGGTTTCTTTCTTAACCTAATATTTACATGAATGAATTGAAACTTTCAGATATAAACAGCGGGGAAAGGAAGCTGTATTGGCCAACAACGTGTTTTTTTATATAACCTATGAAGGCACTGTTGATATTGATAAAATTTCAGATCCAGTGAGCTTACTTGCTTTTTCTTCATTGATCTTTATCTTTTAGTTTAGTTACTTATTTTAAATCTGGTTATATTGTAAAAGGCACAACAACGTGCTACACAAGATCAAATAGCGTACTTTGGACAAACTCCTTCTCAGCTTCTTACTGTGCCTCACATGAAAAAGCGACCATTGGCAGATGTTCTTCACTTGCAGGTATGTCATGATTTTAGTTTGACACATAACCTAGCATTTATGCAATATTATTTTCTAAACGTTATCTCTGAGAAAATATTCTAGGTGTTTTAACAAATCATACTATAAAAAACATGTTTTCTCTTGACTAGACATAAATCAAGAAAAATGGCATTAGCTTCCAAAACTAGGTAAGATTACTTATGGGATAACTATGCTTGTATCTGTGTTTGGGATTCAACTAAACTTTGTCTATTATAATAATATCATATATGTAGACCACTAAAGGTGGACCATCCATCCTTTCTACTCATATCCTGTTCGAAAACAATTAAAAAAACTCCTAATACAATAATATGTAACAAGTAGACGAATTTATCATCAATGTGTGTTGTATGCCTTCCTTCTCACACATTTTCAACCCACTGTTGAACTAGTGGTCAGACTGGATGATCCATCATCCGGCAGGTCCCATTTAGCCCCCAAACTGCTTACTTGCAAAAAAAAAAAAGAAGAGTTGGTCAATGACCTAGTGACCCGTGCAGTTAAAGTGTTGAACAATTTGTCCCAATCACCAAGTCACAAGTCAGACATTAATTCTCTTTTTCTGTATTTCTTAATTATTTCCATCATTAATAACATGAACTCTCCTTTATCACACATAGTTTTGTATAATATGACAAATATATCAATCTATACTGCCTATAAAAGTGTGAATGAGGCATTGGGCTTCTGGAATTTTTTTCACTAAAATACCCCTCCTCTTGAATTTAGTTCATCTTCATTGAAAGGGCAAAAAATGTATTTAAAATAATACTATTATTAAGTATATTCAATTACCTCTTATTAAGTTTCACATTTAAGGCACTAAATAAATCTCATTCTCTATCTCATTGAATCCAACATTTATACTTTTAATTCTCATCATTAAATTCCACTAATAAATTTATGCACAATAATTATTAATAGAATGGAATTTTATATTTTAAAATAAAACTAAAACTGAAACCATATTTTCCATCTAGGTGGTGGGTAATTAGTTCAACCATTTGGGTCAAATGGATAATTCCATGATGTTATAAATAAATAATATAAATTTAGACATAAAAATACAAAAATTATAAAAAATAAAGAAATTTTGAAAAAACTGAACACATTTTTATTATTATATACTTGTAATAATAAAAAAAGATATATATGACAAAATAGACATAATTTTATTAATGATGGACTTGGAATATACAACTAAAACTGATGGAAAACGAAACCATTTTCCTATCTAGAGGGTGGGTTAGTGGTTCAACCTTTTAGGCCAAATGGGTTAAGCCATGATGTATAATTAAAAAATAAAAATTTTAAAATAGAATAATACAAAAAAATGTAACAATTTTGGGCACATCTATAATATTATACATTAATCATTTATTAATGATATAAATGAAATGCAAAATTTAAAACTAGTCTGACCTTCTAAGTCAAATGGGCCAATCTATGATGTCATAAATAAGTAATAAATATTAAATATATATATATAGAAACTCAAAGAAAAATATAAACTTTATATAAAGCATTTTGATACATATCTAACGTTATATATTCATCATTTTAAACACAAATAAATGTGAAAATAAGAATTACTTTTATTAATGATGAAAATGGAATATATGCTTTAAAATCAACCAAAAAAAGCAAAATGGTATTTCCATACATGTGGTGGGCTAGTGGTTCAACTTTCCATGTCAAATGGATCAAAACATGTTGTTATAATTAAATATTAAAATACATAAAATTCTAAAAAATGTAGAAATTCGTAGATAAATTTAGGCACATTCTATACTTATCGTAGAAAAAAGTGTGATAAATGATAATTATTTTCATTAATGATGGAAATGAGATAAAAATTAGGAGAAGAAAAAGAGCATTAATGTACACATGACCCCACTAACCATGTCAAATGGTTCAATGATTTAATTAGCTAGGTCACTATAGACAAGTGGTTTGGTGGTAAATGGACCTATAATCCTGAATTCGATGGTGGATTGGTCAATCTAATCAATTGATTTGACCACAATATTGAAAACAATATCCAAACAATATATTGGAATTGGATTTTCGTGGTAACAGGCCATTGATTCAACTTTTTAAGTTAAATATGTCAACCCTTGTCTCATAATTAGGTAAAAAATGAAGAAAGATAAAAAAACACACAAAAAAAATCATTATGTAATTAAACAAGAATTTTGTAAAAAAATCATTTAGGCACTTATCTAATATTGTAATATGAATTATATTAAAGAAAAACAAGCATGATAGATAATAATTGTTTTTATTGATGTTCAAAATTAAATATAAAATTTAACACTGACCCATAAATGAAATCATTTCCTTGTGGCAAGTCAATGGTTTAACCTTTTGGATTATATGTATTAACCCTTGATCTCCTAATTAAATAATAAAAGTTAAAAATAGATAAATATACAAAAATTATGAAAAATATATAAAACTCTAAAAAAACATTTGGACATATCTCAAATATTTTATACTAATCATATTAAAAATCAAACACGATAAATAAGAATTTTTTAACCGTTTATTGATAATGAAAATAAAATACAAAATTTAAAACTAACCCAGAAGTGAAATTGTTTTCCTATTTGGTGTGATAGATCAATAATTCAACCTTTCAAGTCAAATGTTTTAACATGAGAAGTCATAATTAAATAATAAATTAAAAAAAAAGATAAAAACATAATATGTATGTATGTATGTATGTAAACATTTGGGCACACTAATATTTTATATTAATTAACCACGTTAACAAAAAAATAAGTGTCACAAACAATAATTGTTTTTGTTGATGATAGAAATAAAATACAAATTTAAACCAACCCAAAAATGGAATTGCTTTCCTATTTGGTGGTGAGTCAACAATTCAGCCTTTTGGGCGAAATGTGCTAATCCTTGATGTCATAATTAAATAATAATAATAATTAAAAAAATGATGAAAACACACAAAAGTATAAAGGTAGAAAAAATTCTATAAAAAACATTTGAGAACATTTATAATATTGTATATTCATCATGTTAAACAAAAATCAATGTCACAGAATAAGGATAATTTTTATAGATATAGAAATATAAAAATATAGAAAAAATTTACTATCACCATCATCATAAAAAATTGCCACGTGCAAAGCACGTGCATACTTACTAGTGATATTAGAAACATGCCAGATTTTTAATGCAAAATTTCTTTAATTTTCTGCATTTTATCTATTTACATGTTTTTATTATGTGATTTATGGCATTATGGGTTGACCCATTTGACCCGAATGGTTTAACCAGTGACCCGCCAACCGAAGGGAAAAGCGGTTCTGTTTCCAAGTCATTTTTTAAAACATTGATGCATATATGCTTGTATGTAAAATCTCATAAATACAAACAAACATGCAGACCTAAATATGTACATACTTTCAGAATATAGTATATATGTCTCTTGAGTTGTCGAAGACCATTTAAATACAAAATACTGCAAACATTGAGGTATCAAATTGATATTCTTCATAAGAATATGATGGTGCATGCACTATAAGTATAGGTATTTTCTAGATTTTAGAACATGGTAAGACCTTGCAAATTTCAGTTGAAAATCAGACAATTGAAAAGGTAACAACTCATGAAAGTCCAATGATGCATATCAATGAATAGATGCTAATTAACTGATTTACAATGAAACTATGGTATGTGCTCCTTGAAGGGTAAGCTGCTATTTATGGAGTTTATCATCTTTTTAGAATATTCTCCCTAGTCACTATATATCTTATCATGAGTTCAAGGCAGTGAAATTGATATTCTTCTGGGATCTTTCTAGTAATCAAAATCATGTTTAGTATATATGACCATTGATTTTTCTGTTGGGGCAAATACTATACTTGTCAATAAGTCTTTTAGGTTCTGTTTTTTATTTTTTTGGTATTGTCTTTAAGGTTCTGTTGATTCTTAAAGATTATATTTCTCTGGTAGCTTTTCTATTTTATTTTATATGGTATGTTAGAAAAGACTGATTTTGATCTATTCTCTTTTGTTGCATGCTAGACTATATTTCGAAACCCAAATGAGGTCAGACCATATGTGATCCCAAATCCTGAACGTTGCAATGTTCCTGCTGCTTCCATTTATGTGTCATCAGATTCTGTCATAGTTGTTGATGTAAATGCTCCAGCTGTCCATGTTGCAGTGCACAAGTGGCAGCCTAATACACCTGATGGCCAAGGCACGCCATTCCTTTTTCAACATGGGAAAGCCTTATCAAGTTCAACTGGTGGAGCATTCATGCGCATGTTTAAAGGGCCAGTTGGGTTTAATTCTGAAGAATGGCAGTTTCCACAGGCACTAGCATTTGCAACATCTGGAACAAGAACCTCAGATTTGGTTGTCATCACATGTGACAAAGAAATCATCACCGGTACCCTTTCTGTTTGTCTTCTTACTTTGTTTCCATTAGATAATAACATCTGTCCATGTTTTGTCCTAGATATGTTTTAAGTTGACCTATTGGATACGTAGCTAGGGTTTGTCCTAGATATGTTTTAAGTTGCTAAATGGAATATATAGTTAAACTTTAATTAAACATTATATATATTTTTAATTAATAAAAAATTTATATGTAACATGAAACTCGTATACATAATTAGACGTTGATTAAATATTATATATATATTTTTAATTAAAAAAAATTACATGTAATACTAAACTCGTATATATAATTAAACATTGATGAATTAATAAAAAATTACATGAAGTATTAAACTTGTATATATAATTAAACATTGATTAAATATTATAAATATTTGTTCATTAATAAAAGATTTTATATGTAATATCATAAACTCATATATATAATTAAACGTTAATTAGATATTGTATATATTTTTTTATTAATAAACTGTTTTACATGTAATATTAAACTCAGATATATAATTAAATGTTGATTAAATATTATATATTTTTTAGTTAATAAAAAATTTGACATGTAACATTAAACTCGTATATATAATTAATAAAAAATGCAAGATTCCTAAGTCATTTAGACTTAACCTAAATAATTTGATTAGCATATGTAGTCCCCTGATTAGCAGAACTGTTTGTGTGGTTTAATAGTCAAACCTTTTCTGAATAAAATCTTTATACCCCAGGAATGTCACTAGGTTTGTTTTGATGACTTGTACCATCTAGAGACTTAGAGGTTTGTGTGAAAAATCAGTTGGCTATTGTGTCACAACATAATATCCTTGCATTTGTGTTTAGGTGGGCATGCCGACAACAGTGTCAAGTTGATATCATCTGATGGAGCAAAAACCATTGAAACAGCCAGAGGGCATTGTGCTCCAATTACTTGTATTGCTTTGTCATCTGATAGCAACTACCTTGTGACTGGATCTCGTGATGCAACAATCATACTATGGAGGGTGCATCGGGCATTTGCATCACACTCAAGCAATATTTCAGAGCCTTCCACTACATCTGACACACCCACTACAAGTAATGGTAACCTAACAAATGTGATGGTAGAGAATAACCGGAGAGGTCGAATTGAGGGCCCCATGCATGTATTGAGAGGCCATTTCAGGGAAATAATTTGTTGCAGTGTCAGTTCTGATGTTGGAATTGTTGCATCGTGCTCCCATTTTTCAGATGTATTGATTCATTCCATAAGAAGGGGTCAGTTGATCAGGAGATTAGTTGGGGTGGAAGCACATGCTATTTGCCTTTCATGTCTAGGGGTTATAATGACCTGGAACAAAACAGAGTGTGTGCTTAGGACTTTCACCATCAATGGGATTCCAATTGCGACAACAGAACTTTCCATTTTATGTGGCAATGTTAGGTGCATGGAGGTTTCTGTTGATGGAGAGAATGTCATAATTGGGGTGAATTCATCTTCAGAAAGTGAGAATATTCATGGATCTCTTGGATCGAGTGGTGAGAACCTAAACAAGTTGACAGTTCCGGTGCCTTCAATTCTATTCATGGATCTTTATACTCTGAAGGTATAGAAAACAATGTAAAAATAAAAATGAGCCTATGTTAGACTTTTTAGGGATCTACTCTTTTAACAAGCAAAGAATCCTATATTGTTAACAGGTATTTCATACACTAAAGCTGGGAGAAGGGCAAAACATAACTGCTTTCGCTTTGAACAAGGACAATACTAATCTTTTAGTGTCAACATCGGACAAGAAGTTGGTAGTTTTTACTGATCCATCTGTAAGTTAAATAGTTCAAAACATTATGTTTATCATTCTGGTATAGAGTTCCATTTGAGAGGGATCACAATGAGTTTTCTGCTTCACGTCTTACAGTTGAGCTTGAAGGTGGTGGATCAAATGCTTAAGCTTGGATGGGAAGGTGATGGGCTTAGTCCTCTAATAAAGTGACTCTCAAGCCATCAAATTTTGGTTGTATATAAGATTTGTCATTGGCGGCAGTCTTCTAGGGCACACAGAGCTGCAATTATACAAGGCTTTGACGTTGAGGATGTACATGTGTATCTACCAATGGAGCGACAGCCTACTAGCACCACAGATGATGTTTGTAAAAAACAAGGTTGCTTCACTCTAGTTGTTTGCCAGTCAGGTATTTTCTGTTGTATCCTCCAATTGTCCTCTCTTTGTAAATTTGAAATGAAAGTAATCCAATTTCTGTTATATTTTATACATTTCAACCGAAATAGCAGCTTCATTAGGACCCCTCAAAAACATGAAGAATTAAAAATTAAATATGGAGCTTGATCTTGTTCTCATACTAATTGATCTTAAGAATACTCAACTCCCATAATACCTCATATAATCAACTGCTATTAGTTGCCCTATTGTTCATAGAAAAATTACTTAAACTTTCCCTTGCTATTTTAAAATGGGCTGCTGCTTCTTAAACATGTTAAACATCCCCTATTAGAAACATCTATTAAAACATAAACAAGTGTAATGACAAGAAAACCCTTCTCCTTAAATGATGAAAAATGCTTCTATTCGGGCTGTTAATGGATTGGGCAGACCCAACAGACCTGAACCAAACTGACCCAATTATATAGGGTCCAAGTTTGCATTGTGTCTGATTATAATTGAGTGGGAATCAGTTTTGGTTGTTGTGAATAGAGGTGATCATGGGGCGGGTGTGGGCCAGGTTTTGCACCTGTGGTAAGGATAGTTTGGGGCTGGGCCCTGCCTGGTTCAGGCCTATGACTTTTTTTATGTATAAAATATTAAATATGTATAATATTTTATATTATATGTCAAATAATTTGTATAAATTTATTTTCTTATGTACTATTGATGTCATATTATTTTATTTCTATATAAATAATATAAAATAAAATAACATATATGCATGTGCATAAATAATGTACACATAAATGTGAGGGGCGGGTTTGGCCTGAAGTGTCCAGCCTGAAAGGACCTTGTATAACTAGGATCTTACAAAGATTACCCCTAATCTAATACCCTATTACAAGGATGTCATCACTCATCAGCACTCTACTTCCTCTCAAGCCCTTTCTATATTTTCTATTTTTATTATTCTTTTTTTTTAAATGAACAAAATAACTCAAGCACATCACTTTTAAGACATAAATATCTCATCGTTAACTTGCCACTAAATCTCCTCTTCATCATTAATTCCTCTCATTATATCTCCTCATTAATCACGCAATTAACCTTTTCTTTTCCAATAACTCATTCTATTAATTCTCTTTAACAAAATAAATTCCATTAATTCTCTTTCATTTCAATTATTCTATTAAATTCCCTTAGCTCTATCATAGAGCTATATATAATAAATCTTATATCTTATAATTACGAAAAATGCAAACAAAGAGACTTGAACCCAAGCATCTAAGGGTTTTTTTATTTTTTTCTGTTTTTTTTTTTTTTTGCTGCAAAAATCCAAGTATCTAAGTTAAAGAGTTAACAAATCTACCACCACACCATGCTAGCTATTATATTTATAGAAGCTCTATATTTTACCTTATATTTTTTTTTCTTTGCATGCATATCTATCAACAAATTTTACGAAGGATTATTAAAATATATATATTTGCAAATATAATAATAATTATATTGGTTTACTAGGAATTAAGAAATGCATCCATATCTTAGCTTTTATGAAAGCCTGCATGCATTTCTAAACTGTTTCTCAACTGGGCCCGGCTTAAGCTCAACCAAGGCCCAATCCTAAGTGGGCCTAAGGCCGAAGCCCGAGGTCAAGCCTCAACCGTCCAACTCAGGCCAAGCCCGAACTGAAATTTAATGCACTCGGGTTGGGCTTGGGCCCTTTCCAGTCTCAAGTTGGTCAATCAACCTACTAAAATTCAATATAAATGTTTGAATATATTTATGATTTACCAAAACAAGTATGCAAATATGCATGTATCCATTACAAATATGAGTTTGTAGATGCATATATATACATAATTGGGCCAGGCTTGAGTTAGGATAAAGTAGGGTCAAGCTAAGGCTAAATTCAGGCTACCTAAGGGCTAGGCCCGGGCCTGATCCAAAAAATAAAGATGTTTGAATTTTTGTTCCCAGGCCCATCCCAGGGATTGAAAATCCAAGCCCAGCCCATGGAAAATTGTGGGCTGGTTCAGTCCAGGCTAAAGTTGGGCCCGGCCAAATTGCACCTAGATTTAATGTAATTAATGTAACGTTTAGAATTATTTGAGTTCCATGTGTAGCCATGCATATTCATATTCAATATGAGTTTAATTGTTGATTTTAAATCTGTTTTTGAGTTAGGCTTCAGAAAAAAAAAAAAGAAAAAAGAAAAAAATCTGTTTTTGAGTTACGAATCACTTTATAGTATATGGCAAGCTTGAAAGTATCAGTATGATATCGTATCGTATCTCAGGGCCATGGATACGTATAATATAAAGCACTTTAATATTTTAACTTTTTAATAATTTAATAGTTGATTTAATACGTCTGCCGTCAAATTGTCAAAATAAAATATAAAAAAAAAAGAAATAAATTTTGTGAGCCGAAACTCTCGATACATAAATATTAAAAAAAGTAAAAATTTGCATATCATAGATATAGATACTTTGAACCACTGTTTTCAAAACCGGACCGGACTGGATGGTTGGACCGGGAAAAACTAGGAATTGGTCACTTGACCGGTTCCGTTTTCCTCTAAAACCGCTTTTTCCCCCAAAACCATTGATTTAAGTCAGTAAACTGCTGAACAGGCCGGTTAATCATTTGAACGATTTTGACCGTTTTTCAAATTTTTAAATTTTTTTATTTATTGTCAGAATGAGCCAGTCATTCGGGTTGAACGGTCAGACCATTTGAACCGTTAACCAGACTCCTGTAGATGCAAGCTAAACCATGTTATATGGTATTAGCTTATCTATATACTATGTAGATGCAAGCTAAACCATCCTGTACGGATGTCCATGTAATTAATTAATTCATTAATCCATTTTCTAGTAATCCATGCAGTATATGGTACAGGTGCAAGTTAAACCATGTCCTACATGGGTGAGGGTGACAAAGTGACAAACAATATTATTGTAACTAGTAATATTAAAAATCAATTTATAAAAATTTTACAAAATTACATTAACAAAACTGTAATTTGGTGTTAATATACACTGCACAGGTGGAAGGTCGAAGGTCAACTTTATTCCACCTGTATCAACAATATCACCTTATATAGGTACAATTTTAATCAGTAAATTAGTAAACATGATTTTAGTTTATCAATAAGTATGGGAGATATTTCCAATGCATGATAAGATATGTGCGTGAGGCGCCAAGTGTAAGGAGCAGATACTTTGAGCTTCCAATATTAATATAATAGGTTGTAAGACATATTTACCACCAGTCCACGCGTACTTTGTTGTGATAATTGTATCTGCTTCGAGTGGCTGAGCTAAGTCACTTTTTATATGGTGACATGACCTGTGATTCAGCGACTCCAGGCAAGTTTCTATATGACTCGACGAAGTTGACAGGTGACAGATTTATGATTTGGCTTGGTTAGAAAATTCGACCCAGGTATCAATTCAACTCTTAAAACCAGTAGGCATTCACTAATCTTCCATCTTATCCATCTTTTTGGGTCCATGAGATGTGAATTTTGATGCATTTGGTGCAGGATTCTTCTTCACTTTGATGAGTCGGAGATCTATTCCTAACAAAAACATGATCTACATCTGAACATTTTAAATATATCTCGTATACATTAATGGAGTATTACTTTTGAAACAAGTTAAACAACTATCATGTTTGAGATGTGTGGCCATAAATCATGTTGGAAGCATGTTGAAAGTATTTTTGTTGGGAGCAAACTCCACTTCGATGTCCAGCTGGTATAATTGTCGGCCTGTTTATATAATTCCTTTCCATGCAATTAATGAACCTAGTTCTGGTTTGTGGTTATTGATAAGTTAATAAATATGAATAAATACATGAGCATGGAGGTATGGAAATTTCGTTTCATTCACAAGTTAATAAATATGAATAAATATTTTTACTTCACAAAAATAAATAAAAAAAAAGAAACTCTATCCACGTAAAATAAATAAGAATATTTTAATAATAAAAAGCAAGAAACCGAGCCAACCATACAGAATTTGGATCTGCTTCTCACAGAGAGCTTTTTACACTAACCTAACAACATCCCAACCACATTGAGAAAATCTCCCGTTCTTATGTTTTATTATTCATTTTACCAATACATGGTGGGATGTTCCTGTGAGGTACGGTTTATGGGGAGCAAATCCCAATTCAACTCTACATACAATCCAAACTTTACATAAGATTACTAACGAGGATTCGTAGGGGCAAAATTTAAAAATGCCATTTAAAGATACAATAATAAATTAGGTTATATTTTTTTAAATAAAATAACTATAACCATATTATTATAAATAATAAACAATCATGTAAAATCATTCTTGAACCGATTATTTAATTGGGATCAAATCATTGACCTCATTATATTGAAAACCATAGTCAAAATAATACTAATTTATTTTTATGTTAATAAGTTAAACATTTTTAACTAATATAATCTTATTTATTATTTATCAAATTTACTATTTCAAACATGGAACATGATAAAAAAAATACAAGAAAGATAACAAAATTATATATTTCAAAAAATGTTTGGTTCTGGACCTAAATCAATTCTGGACAAATAAGAATGAGAATCAATCCAATAATTAATCAAGACCAAATCATGGAATCAAAACCGTTATAATTATGTTCAGTCAATTTAGCTCCATTAGGATAGATCCAACCCATTGGTTCAATCCTAGTTTTTCTTAAATAAATTAAATAAATAAATAAAAGTCTATTGGGATGGTACTAGTATAGGCTACCTTGAACTAGACTCAACCTGTTGACAACACTAAATATTGGGCTCAAGGGGAGAGAATAATTTGTTAGTAAATTATTTCTAAATAAATAAATAAATGTCTATTGAAATCTATCTCTTAATGTCACATCTCTTTTATTCTACCGATTTATTTTATTAAAATAAGTAATTTATTTAATTTTATAAAATAAATAAATGTTTAGATAATAACAATAAAATAAATAAATGAATAAATACAAGTTGAGATAGAGAATAGGAGAGAGAGAGAGAGTTGAGAAAGAAGAGGAATGTCATTTTATTTATGGGATGTCACAATCACAAATAATTATATATGGCACTATTGTAATTTTTGAATGCCATTAAGTCAATTAATTACGGAGATTTGTCTTATATGTGGTATTCTTGTAATT